TATATATATATATATATATATATATATATATATATATATGTATATATATATTATGGCATCCTTCCGTCTACGTGAAACGATGGAGTAGCTATATAGTTCTACAACTTTGACGAGTTTTACTATTGTTTTGTGAATCTAGTTTTGTGAATATATATATATATAGTTCGTCAGTCGAAATCGATTACGACCGCCTTGATCTTATCGTATTTGTGCTAACTAATTCTATAACGAAGTGATTATTCACAGAGCTGTGCGGATAACGCTCGCCGTTATTCACAGATTTTGGTCTGCCGATAACGCTAAACGTTATTCACAGAATGTGATAAATAAATTAATGAATATAAAGTACAAAGTTCGTTTACATACATCTCCTCGGTAGAGTAGTGGTCAGTATCTCCGACCGTTACCCAGCAGACATAGGTTCGATTCCCCATCGGGGAAGCCTCATGTATATAAATAAAATTTAAAACAAAATATTTAATGGTTATTTCGTAGTGTTATATTATAATAATATTCTTCCTATAGCTTTATTTTTCTGTTCACATAGTTTTATTGTTATTTTCATATAGTTTTGTTACTTATGTTACAAGTTTCAATCTATTTTGTTAGAATGTTCATTCAAGTTTCGTTAAAAAAATGTAAACAACATGGACATGCAGTATGCAGATCAGCCGCATAAACCATGTTTAAGTCAGATACAGCTGTTCTAACTGTACATTGTGATATACTTTTAGCTCTTTTGACTGTTTAATTTTCTTTGTATAATTCCACTCATAGACTTTAACATCCATTTGTTAATGAAATGCACATACCGGTACCGTACTTAAAACATATCAATATCATTGACATCAACAATTTTAGCTCTTGTCAAAAAAATGTTGATAATTGAAACAAAAAGCCATACTGCTACTGTTGTAACTATGGATCTAAATACAAAAAGCCATACTCCCACTGTTGTAACTATGGGTCTAAAAACAAAAAGCCATACTGTCACTGTTGTAACTATGGGTCTAAAAACAAAAAGCCATACTGTCACTGTTGTAACTATGGGTCTAAAAACAAAAAGCCATACTGTCACTGTTGTAACTATGGGTCTAAAAACAAAAAGCCATACTGTCACTGTTGTAACTATGGGTCTAAAAACAAAAAGCCATACTGTCACTGTTGTAACTATGGGTCTAAAAACAAAAAGCCATACTGTCACTGTTGTAACTATGGGTCTAAAAACAAAAAGCCATACTGTCACTGTTGTAACTATGGGTCTAAAAACAAAAAGCCATACTGTCACTGTTGTAACTATGGGTCTAAAAACAAAAAGCCATACTGTCACTGTTGTAACTATGGGTCTAAAAACAAAAAGCCATACTGTCACTGTTGTAACTATGGGTCTAAAAACAAAAAGCCATACTGTCACTGTTGTAACTATGGGTCTAAAAACAAAAAGCCATACTGTCACTGTTGTAACTATGGGTCCAAAAACAAAAAGCCATACTGTCACTGTTGTAACTATGGGTCTAAATACAAAAAAAAGCATTAAAAAATTTGTTGGAAACTTGCTGGTCGTAGGATGCATTGCGAGTCTTGGGGAAGTAAAGTTCCCCTTCAGATCATATTGGCCTACCCATGGGGCAATTGAAGCAGCGTTTACAAGTTTGAGTGTATGGCCAGCGCAATAACCAGCCACCTTTACTTTTGACCAGCTAATGCCAGAGCTGGGTAGACTAAGGGACACGCTCAAGGATGAGGAAAAAATACTAGCCTTAAACTTTAACAGGATTACATTCTGTTATTATCAATGTAGGGCCAATATGCCCCTCCCCATCTCTCACATGGCCGCCTGATGCAGCCACCTCTCTGCATGGGCTATTCCTGACAGAACAATTCTAGACTAGGTGATATATCATAGGGCTTTTAAAACACTAAACGATACCCTATCAAGCTTTGACATCATTTTAAGACCTCTCTACAATGGGTGAAAGTGAGTCTACACGAAGAATACCGGTACGGGTACAATTTTTATTACTGGTATAATATTTAATATGAAATACCAGAAAATTAGTTATGTCTAGGAGTAGGAGGTTTGACTGGATCTATTAGTAACACTCTATAGGTCGAATAGACCCTATGTTGGCCCCTAACAGAGCAGATGTAGGCACAATTAATTGTCCTATATCCAATATATAGGCTATAGTTAGGCCTATTAAATTTTTAAAATTTAATTTGTGCATAGCTTCGGTTATGAAATGTGCTTGTGCCATACTCATTAAAGATTCTTTAAAGATCCAAATCTCCTACACTACTTAAAACTACACCCCCACCCCGGCTTGGAATGTGATCTAGAAATGTGCGTACTTATGGGATCATTTCTATCTAACAATAACACTCTGCATTATAGACCCACTAATTATCACCCAATAATAAATTTGTATGCGTACATGGGCGCCCGCAGTTAGGGGCAAGTGGGGGGCACTTACCCCCCCCCCCCTTAGATTGATTGGAAAAATTTAGACAAAAAATGTATTAAAGTAAAGAGAAAATAAAGAGAAAGTAACTAAGCTGATGTCCTGTCCGTTCGTTCACCATACAAATACGCTACAGTAAATTAAGACTATATTAAAACATTGCTAAAAAATTTTGCCCCCCCCCCCAGAAAGTTAATCGATCCCCCCCCCCCCGAAAGTTTTCTGCGGGCGCCCATGTATGCGTATACTGATTAAGCTAAGTAACTAAGTATATTACTTATACTACAATTGTGTATATACTTTATACTGCATAATATTTAGTATAGTAATAGGCTATTACTATTATACTACCGGTATACAGATATTACCATACTAATATTAGTAATAAATTTGCCCTTTTTTATAATTGATAGTGAAAAAAATTCGATAATAACTCATGACGGTTCAGTATACTAATAGTAATATTAATATTAATAATAATAATAATAATGAAGTTCATTTCAAAAACACGCTTCATCCCCAAAGGCTCGAAGCGCGGTACAATGTCAACAAAATACAAATCTATAATTTACCACATTTAAAACAAACGCAACACTACAAAAACTAATTACTAGCATACAATTGCAAAGTCTTTCTAGCCATTTCAACCCCAATATTAATAGCCTACATCCAACAATAATTTTTCACCAGTCTAGATCTAATGCATTATATGATTATTCGCAGATTTCGGTCTGCCGATAACGCTAAACATTATTCACAGAGCTGTGTGGATAACGCTCGCCGTTATTCACAGATTTCGGTCTGCCGATAACGCTATACGTTATTCACAGAGCTGTGTGAATAACGCTTCCCATTCTATAATATTGGCCTTACTGCTTGAGGTTAAAATAAATATTTCGAAATAGGCTTAACTAAGCTAGTAATATTATTAGGCATTGATAACAGTTGTTAAAAGCTAATACAAATATGTTTCATGTTTCCATGTTACTAGTTTAATGGCTCACTACAATTGGTAGGTAAAGTAAAATCAGTTTGAAAGATACCCCAGCATCCGCTAGGAGCCGTTAAAGTACCATGACCATATCATCGCATCCCCAACCGTTGCACATATGCCAGTACATGGATTCAGCAGCGTACCCTACTACCAGAATGCATAATATATTTTGAAAAGCTTCATAATGTAAGCCCCCACATATTTTATTTCGAGCCCTTATTATAGTTTAGCTGAAGCTTTTAATTCCCTCACCCACACATAATAGCTTAAGTAAGGCCTAATTAATAGGGGTGTGCCGGACCCCGGTCCGGAATCCGGTTCCGCCGGATTTTGCACTATCCGGTGAAATCCGGTTCCGCCGGATTTACATGTATCCGGAACAACCGGATTCCGGAATCCGGAATATACCGGATTTCGGAATTTGCCAGATTTTGTGACTCACCGGATCATAATCTGAAATAAAAGTAATTCTCTTTCCCGAATTTCACACGATCACGATACATTAATCGATTGTTTCGAGCGTTGAGCTTGTTTAATGTTTAATATTCCGTACATACCAGAGGCTAGAGTCAGCACCGCTAATAGTGGCCAATAGTGTAGGGACTTTGATAAGAAAATTTAAACTTTTTGTAAAAATAAACCAATGGCATAGTTGAAAAGATGTAATTTTTTAAAGAATTATAACACCAAAATCATATTTTTAGCTGTTGTAGTTTTAAAGTTATGAATTTTTAAAGTACGACTTGGTTTGTCATTTTTTAACATGGACTGCATCTCCACATTCTGTGATCTCATTCCACCAATCCCGTCATGCGCAATGACTATATAGTTTATATAAGGCAACGCATTCCCTGCCTTATCACTAAAATACTGTTTAGACTTAGTTTAAACTTTCAACTTTGGCACATGAATAATTAATTAAAGCTTTCCCTGACCAATGGTTTAATAGTTTTTGCACACGGCAAACTCTTATGAATGAAACTCTGAGGTAGTACTACGATACAGTTATGCAAGTGGCTGTGAATGGTTGCCAATGACAACGTGTTGCACACGGTAAATTCTGATCATTTATAATATGGATTCTACCGGGTTGTTAAAGCTCAAATTAAAACATTCCAGTTTAAATGTCTTTAAATGCATTCTGAAACACAAGTTATCAATTATTTTGATGTAAATAGTGATAATAAATTAATATTTCCTAAGTATCGTCAACTTCCGCCATTAAAAAGGGGGGCGTGGCCAACCCCATGGCGAAATTAGGTTGAGCGAGCTGCATAACCTGCTGCGAACGCGTAGAAACATGGCGTCTCTCGTAAGACACTTATCCAAATGGAACGGAACTCAAATATATATCGAAAGTACTAATTTAATAATAAATAGACACACACATCGGAAAATTAAAAACTCGGATTTTTTGGCGCCGATTGCGAATTCCCATACACAAAAAGTAGTAGTCCACCTTGACTTACCGAAGTATCTACCAATAGTACCAAAATCCGGAATCCGGGAGAAACCGGAATCCGGATCCGGCGGATTTCGCATAAGAAAATCCGGATCCGGTTGGAAAAAACGGATCCGGCACACCCCTACTAATTAAGCCGTTCATCACTTTACACTTTTACACACACACACACACTCATACACACACACACACATAATTACCTTTATAATAATTTATATTATAGTTATGTCTCGTGACTACTATCACCCCTTGCAATAAGTTAATGGTTGACCAAGACTTAAGTATTTTCAGATATCTTTATATATCAATACAGCTAGAAGGCTTTTAACTGAAACGCTATTTTGGGGGATACAAAAGTAAAGCTTCACAGTATTTGTCGACACGACACGACACGACACAAACAGTAAACAGGTAGGTGTGCCCGCAGTCTGTTAGCATAGTAATCGTATTTTGATCTGTTAACCTGGTAATCGCATACTCCCAAAAGGGGGCTGTATTTATTTATAACTCTGGAAATTTCCGATCAAAAGTAAATTAAATCCATTGCCACAATCAAATGGCGACCAAATTTTTACTCTGTCACTCTGAATGACTCTGTGTTTGAATTCACTGGACACACAACAATAGTAATTGGCTTTATATTGCCTTAAACGAATGTTTGAATGTAAGCTGTGCATTTTGATTATCTTATAAGTTATAAGGCAAGTTGGCAAGGTGTATAAGTCCAGGTTTAATCAGCAGGTATTTTATTATTAAATTATTAATTAGTAATTTTATTAATTTTTTTATTATTATTAGAATTAGTGGTTTTATATAGTATAGTATAGCCTATAGCGTAGGGCCGGGCTCACCATGCTGTATATACAATTTAACAAACATAATCATGAACTTAAAAATTAACATATACTTTAACTTATACTTAACTATACTTAAACAATTTTTTAGTATGGGAAAAATTAAAGGGAAGCGTTATCCACACTCCACACAGCTCTGGGAATAACGTTGAGCTTTATCCGCAGACCGAAATCTTCGAATAATGCAGAGCGTTATAGTTATTGTTAGACAGAAATTTTCCCATAATTCCGCAAATTTCTAGAAATAATTAGGATCACATTCCAAGCCGGGGCGGGGGTGTAGTTTTAAGTAGTGTAGGATGTATCGATCTTTAATGAGTATGGCACAAACACATTTCAAAACCGAAGCCACAAGTTAAATTTAAAAAATGTAATAGGCCTAACTCTAGCCTATATATTGGATATAGGACAATTAATTGTGTCTACATCTGCTCTGTTAGGGGCCAACATAGGGTCTATTCGACCTATAGAGTGTTACTAATATTAATATATCCAGTCAAACCTCCTACTCCTAGACATAACTAATTTTCTGGTATTTCATATTAAATGTTATACCAGTAATAAAAACGGTACCGGTATTCTTCATGTAGACTCACTTTCACCCACTGTAGAGATGTCTTTAAATGATGTCAAAGCTTGATAGGATATCGTTTAGTTTTTTTAAAGCACTATGATATATCACGTAGTCCAGAAATGTTCTATCAGAAATAGTTGACATGCCGTGCAACAGTGTTATGATGCAGAGAGGTGTCTGCATCAGGCGGCCATGTGAGAGACGGGGAGGGGCATATAGGTCCTACATCGATAATAACAGAATCTAATCCTGTGTAAGTTTAAGGCTATTATAGTATTTTCCCCTCATCCTTGAAGGTGTCCCTAAGTCTACCCAGCTCTGGCCTTAGCTGGGAAAAGTAAAGGTGGCTGGTTATTGCGCTGGCCATACACTCAAACTTGTAAACACTCCTTCAATAGCCCCAAGGGAACTTTACTTCCCAAAGACTCGCAATGCATCCTACGACCAGCAGGGTTCCAATTAATTTTTGTATGCTTTTTTTTGTATTTAGACCCATAGTTACATCAGTGACAGTATGGCTTTTTGTTTCAATTATCAACATTTTTTTTACAAGAGCTAAAATTGTTGATGTCAATGATATTGATATGTTTTAAGTACGGTACCGGTATGTTCATTTCATTGTCATCACTAAGTGTTATTTCAACTATTTCTGGAGCGGCATATTGTGTCCCTACTTATTATGATACTTATTAGAAAATAAAATGAAACAAATAAAACGTGACATATTTTTTCAGCTAAACATTAATACACAACTCTGAGATATAAAATATTTGAATAAGTAAGTTATTAATATTTATTTGTTTATTAGAGAAAAAACAAATGGATGTTAAAGTCTATGAGTGGAATTATACAAAGAAAATTAAACAGTCAAAAGCGCTAAAATTATATCACAATGTACAGTTAGAACAGCTGTATCTGACTTAAACATGGTTTATGCGGCTCATCTGCATGTCCATGTTGTTTACAGTTTTTTGACGAAACTTGAATGAACATTCTAACAAAACAGATTGAAACTAGAATTTTGAATACTTACGTTGTTGGACAGAATGAAAAGTATCATAAAATTGTATAAATAAAAAGTGTAACATTATTAACAAAGCTATATGAAAATAATAATAATAGTAAAACTATGTGAACAGAATAAGAAAGCTAAATGAAGAAAAATAATTATAATATAACAATACGAAATAACCATTATATATTATTTTTTTAAAAATTTATTTATAAAAAGTAGCATCCCCGACGGGGAATTGAACCCTGGTCTTCCGGGTGACTGGCAGAGATACTGACCACTTCACTACCGAAGAGATGCCTACATGCGAATTTTGTATTCTATATTCATAATTTAATTTATCACATTCTGCGAATGATGTCGAGCGTTATCGGTAGACCAAAATCTTCGAATAACGACGAGCGTTATCCGCACAGCTCTGTGAATAATCACTTCGAACATTAAAAATGACTCAAGCAGTCTTCTTTAGTTTAGTGAACAAACAATAGTAAAACAATATAAAATTAAAACTTAGCTGCAATATAGTATCTGCTTATTAAAAGTTATTTAACCCTAACTCTAACTGGGTGGCCAAGACTGGTCTAAAGTCTAAACTGAGCCAATCATAAGATTATTTAAAAAAAGACCTCCGAATAGTATAGCATTTAGTCTAAAGGGACCAGGGTCCAAATAGCGGCAAAAAACATCACCCCGGGTGGATAGGACTCATTAATCTTGGATGGCATCTCATCTAAGAGAAGAAAACTCTGAATTCAAACCCGGAGATAGATTCCCTTAGGCTGAAAACATTGACACAATGAAACATTCTGACAACGCCACTGGTGCCAAGCTGTATCATCCACATATGATTATAATGTTCCCTTTGTTTATCCACCGGCGTGAAGGGAGATGATTTGCTGTGTAGGAACAAGCTTATAATCCTAAAAAAAAGAATAATCCCATGCCTTGTGGATTTCGTCCTGAAATGTCTACACCAATATCACATTGTGACGAACAGACGCCAGCAAAAAAAAAAAACTGGTCTTTTTAATAACTTAAAAATATTTTAATGTATAGCCTAATAATAATAACCCATACATAATGTCATATGCATAACTTAAATTTAATTAATTAAATTAATGATTCATGTCATTAAATAAATTAATTACAATAGGCCTTAAGATTAACTTGTAAAATAAGGTAGTCCTCTATATTTTTGTTTGCTGCTAGCAAGTATGTAAGTAGGGCTACTTTTACAATAACTATAAATTTGTAGATTTTAAATTTGAATATGTAGCCCATTTAATACAACAGCTCCAATTTTATATACTATGCATACAGTAACTATGCATATTATGTCTGTCATTCACAGATGAAATTTAAAAGATAAGAAGATGGATATTACAAGAGTTGGTCATTTGGCAGCAGCAACAGCTTCAACTCAGGTGGTGAGAATAGTTCACATCTCTGATACACATCTCGGACACAATGCTTTGACACCACCTCGACCTATCAGTGGGAATATTTCTATACGCAGAAGCAACAGCAATGATACGCCCAATCAGATTGTTGATGAGAAGGGGATTGATGCCTTTGAAAGGAGATCAAATTCTTTCCTTGAATCCAGTGATGATACTTTTCATAAAGGTGGCGTATTTCTTAGCAATCTGAGGAGATCTTACTCAAGTATTTATGAAATTCCATGTGGTGACATTCTTGTCCATTCCGGTGATTTTGACTGGTCAAAAATTTCTGGGGGGCTCTTTCGCTCTGACAACTTTGAGGAGATTGTGCAACTAATGAATGACTTTTTTGATAGATTTCCACATAAAATAAAACTGTTTGTAGCTGGTAACCATGAGATGTCTCTTGATGGGAAAAAAATTCAAACTGTTCAAGAACGCCTGATATCAGCTACCTATCTCTACAACTCTTCTTTTATATATGAAGGCATCCACTTCTATGGTGCACCTTATTCACCTTTCAGACTGATGACCAACGCTCGTGGATTTATTTGCAACTCAAGAAAAATAGCCGCTCATTGGCGAGACATACCCTCGAAAACTGATGTCCTGATTACCCACACTCCTCCACATGGCATACTTGATCTTGCCACTGACTGGTCCACTCGTAAAATTCCCACATTAATACATGCTATACATCGAGTGGTGCCCAGCTCTACTTGTGAAACTTGTGGTATGGAACACCCAGGCAGAAGTCACTGGGGCTGTCCTCATCTGAGGGAGGAAGTTCTCATAAGAATCAAGTAAGTAACAGATTACACTGGTGGTTACTCTCACTCTCAGTCACTAAATAGAGAAAAAATATATATTTAGGCTTATTTGATGTTTCAGCTTGATGCCATCCTTAGCCACTCCTGATTTTAAACTTTAAATGCAGATCAAACTTTTATTGAAATTTGAGTGTAACATAAATGTTAAAGTTGTGAAGTATAGGTTGTATGTTGTTTGTTTCCCATCAGTGCTTACAGTTTTATATAATTTTTGTTTTTATCCATTAGAGCTGAGGCTTGAGAATAGTAATTTAAATTTATATTGTGTTAGAAGTATTTTGATGCCAAAAGGTGCTTTTTAAAAAATCAGAATTGCAAATATACTACAGATGAACACATTATACTAGGCTCTGAAACAACCAACACATTATACATGGCTCTGAAACAAACAACACATTATACGCGGCTCTGAAACAAACAACACATTATACCAGGCTCTGAAACAAATGTTCATTCAATTATTTTTATCTTCCTAGGCCACACCTTCACCTATTTGGACACGTCCATGAAGCCAATGGTAGTCTAAGTAAGAAAGGAATAACATTTTCCAACTCAGCATATGCCTCTTTTAAACGGCCACATGTCTTTGATTACTTTACTGCCTCATGAGTCCAAGAATACTGTTTTGTAGAGGGTACCAATGTCAACTGTTAGATAATATTATATATGTTACTATTTATTATATTGTTGACAGTAACACATATCAATGCAGTAGCTGAAAGACATTTTTTTTTCTATTTTACTTTTTTACCATCACAAACTACTATTAGGATTGACACCTATTCACATAAATAGGTCTCTGGTTCCCTTAGATAGATCATGTTACTAATGTTCTTGTCAATTATTTTGTTTACTGGCCTAATTTTGCTATTTTATTTACCTCAACAAGCTGATAACAATTTGATAACTCGACCCTTGTTTTTCAAATTTTCAATTATTATTATAAAAAATTTATATCTAAGTAGAATTGTGGGGAAAAGACTTAATGTATTTTTAAAAAAATCACCAGCATGTCATATTGCTTGGTCTAAACTACTATGAACATGGAATCATAACTAAATGAAATCTGTTGGTGTTAACCTTTTTTTCTTATGGAAAATATTTTTTAAAAAAATAATTGTATTAGAATCAAATTGTGTAAATGTGTCATGAACAAAATTTCAGTTGACTACGTCAAATATTTTTTAAAATAGTCGGTTATTGTATTTGTTGTTGCTGTTTTCTACTCACTTCTTAATGGGACCATTAGTTTACATTATCTGCAACTTTTTAAAATATTTCATGATAATCATTGAAGTTTACAATGATTTTAAACCTATCATTATAATATAAGTTTACACTGATTTAAACATGTTATAATCAATCATGTTTACAATGAATTGATTAATTTTAAATGTACAGTCAAGTAAGGACTTAAGTTATTATAAAATAATTGGGGCCTTGTACAGAGAATTATGAAGAACTTTTGTTGTAGCACGAACCAGGGTTCTACACTCTTTCCTTACTATTTCATGCCTAGTAAAACTAAATGTTTAAATAATGATCTTAATACTTTTTTAAAAGTATATTTTGGTATTTTTTTGGTACAAAGCCCCACTGTATTGTGTTAACCAGCCAGGTATGAAATTTAAATTGACACTGACATTCAACTCATCATTCCAAAGCAACTCAGATGGTTTATTTGAATATAAAAAAATACATTTGTTTTATCAAAACCATCAGGAGTTTTGTGCCTTACAACAGTTGTGGAGAGCTCCAGTAAATACCTTCACTTAATTTTTCTTCAGATCTCTACTATGTTTCCTTCTGATCTCCACTATGTTTCTGAATGATCTGCTTAATGTGTCAGAGGTAGAACTGCCTTATTAATTTGTTTCATGAATTTTTTCCTTCATCTTTTGAGCCCTCATGCTCAAATGTAAGGTTTTCTTTAAGTTGATTTTAATGCGGGTTTGGTTCATGATATTTTACTTGTTTATTTACTCAGATATCTTTGCACATCTTTTTGACAAATATTATGAACTTAACCTGTGTGGTAATTCTGAGTATACATCATGGTCTTTTTTTGACCTTTTGTGACCAATTGTTGATGTTCACTTTTTTATTAAGGATTGCAGAAGCTCAAAAATTGCATGACACATCACTGTTACAAAGATACTGCTTTATTTGAGCAAGTTTTGGTCTGGCTTATTTTAGCTGTGCTTACAATACATTTTAAACCATTTCTATTGTGTATTTTAGCCATGTTTTCCCAAAGTATTGCTCAGTAAATTGCTGTTAGGCCAAATACTGTAAAATGAAAAATTATTATATTAGAAGTTTTGTCAAAGCATGTACAGTAAATCTTTTTATCAACATATAAATGCAAAATTAGTTGAATAAATGTTTAAAATGAACAAAAATATACAGATAAAATTTGAAACATACAGTTTAGAAAAAATACTACCTTATTTTTGCACAGAGAAAATAATATGGGAACTCAGTTTTACATGTTTACTAAAAATTTCTTTTATTTTTAATATGCACATTATATAAGATTATATTAACATATATAAGAGAAAGAAACTCTGAAATCAAACCTGGAGATTGAGTCCCAAAGGCGGATAATATTGGTACAGTGAAACATTCCGACAACTCCTGCGACGCCACTGGTGCCAAGCTGTATCATCCAAATGATGTTCCCTTGGGTTATCCAGCGGTGTTGAGAGAGGCGATTTGCTGTTGGGAACCAACTTGTAATCCTTGAAGAGCAATCCCTGGCCTTGTGGGTTTCGTCCTCCGAAGCCCACGCCATCATCACATTGTGACGGACGGATGCCAGCTTAAAAAATTGACATATTTATACATACTGCTAACAATGAGATTTACTAACACAAATATATATCTGTCTTAAACAATTTTGTTAACAGAAATATAATTACTTGTCTTTTGAGATTACATTGATAGTATTGGATAAATAGGTGATAGAGTTTTTGGGCTTGAGCTCAATTTTTTGGGGTTGCTCCAACCTCCAGTTTTTGAAATTGCTTGCTCCAAAATTGACGGGTAAAACGGTAATGCATTTTTTAGATTATTTGAATAGAGTGATTCTTTTTTCATCCCAGTAACTAAAGGGGAAAAGGGAAGTGACTTGTTTTATTATTTCATTTGGTTCATTCCATCATGGATTTACTTTTAACAAAATGCACAAACTAATTTTGACATTGCCAGTTATTTACTTTTTATTTGTTTTCTTTATTGGGTTCACAATGTTTTTAGAAAACTATTTTTGTTGCCTTGAATATTTAAACAATTATATTTTCCCTGTTGTATTTTTCTATACAATAATTTAAACTTCTGTAAGAAATTTCTTTGTCTTGGTCACTCTTGTTTCTTTTTTTTTTTACTTGAAAAGTACATCATTTTGTTCATAATGACCAAGTACTGTACATCCTATTATGCTTTATGATTAATTTCATCATATTCTGCAAAAAATAAAGTAAATCATATTATGTAAAAAAATATGGGAAGCCCTGAAAAAAGGAAGCAACAAAACAACAAATGTGTTGGCAAAAACCTTTTTTGGTGAACCAACAACTGTAAAAAAATATAAAAATTAAAATAAACACTGAGTTGCAATTTAGAACATGAGAGGACAGCTAGAGGAATGTAATAATTAGCTTACCTAATAATAGCTTTGTTCCATCTTTTTTTCAGGCTTTCCCATATTTGTTTGACTTATTTTCATCTACTTAACCTGGTTGCAGTCTCTCCTAGTTTATTATAAGATAAACTCTATCACATTTCTTTTTTTTCCCCCTATCAAATGTTTGAAAATAATTGAAACAATTTATGGTTTAAAAACTATAAAAAATAACAAGAAAAAAAAACAATTGGAATTAAAAGTTTGTATATATTAGTAACAGTAATCTTCTAGATAATAATACTTTGTTTTCTTTCATTGAGACAAAGTGATGAATTATCTAGTTAGAATATCTCAAGTGACAAATATTTGAAATAATATTATTTTTAAAATTAAATTTCTCTCAAATTTTCTTTATTTCTTTAAAAAAAATTTCAAAATCTGTCCAACTCATTTTATAAAACATGTAAAATGGGTCAGGTTTTTGAATATATCTTATTTTGTAATTTAAGTGTACAGAAATTTGATTAAGTTATGTGAATAAGTCGTCCATGGTAAGTTGACTGTACAGTTTTTAAAAATCAGCTTGATTAAATGAATCTTTAGTATACTTTGTACTGGTAGTCGCCTAATAGATTGGTTTTCAACTGGTGCATCATGGAAGGTTTACAGTTATGTCACACAATTTTGATATAAATGATTCAATTTAATTTAAAATGATTTCTTTTGGGCATATAAGATATTGCCTAATTCAAGATAAGAAGGCACCTGTAATATGAATTTAATTTTGTGTAACATAACAGTAAAAATTTGAAGTGGCACTTAATGACATAGCCATATTTTTCTAAAGGTATGTGTGTCCCCTGTTTTGGAAGATAAAAAAAAAAGGTTGAAAACCACTGGTCTAAAATATCAAATAGTATTTATATGTAGCTTTGTCTTTCATAATATTGTTATTGTGTATTAAAACATTTATGTATGATAAAAAATGATAATATAATATATGAAAATTATTTTTAGAATCAAATTTTCCTACAAGCATTTATTATTAATTAACATATTTATTAATTCTATGAATAGAGAAGCATATCCTATTTATTGAGTCACCATTCAAATATACACTAAATCTTTGGATAAAGAATCCTGTAAAAAAAAAAGGAGGGTGGGGTTTGGATCGGAGAGTCTTAACATTGTGCGGCTTATCAGATCCTAGGACAACTAGCATTGTCATATCAGATCCAAGGACAACTAGCATTGTCATATCAGATCCTAGGACAACTAGCATTGTCATTTCAGATCCTAATATAATGTGCATTGTCATATCAGATTCTGGGGTAACTAACATTGTCATGTAAGATTCTTCAGATGTCATGATAGCCCTATCACTTGTTGGCTTGCTTGTTGCCTTTTAAACTCTATTAAGTAGTTGTTTGTTGTATTTTATTGTGCAGTTATCAAACAACCTCCCAATTCTCCTTACATATCAAAACTGCTGACTTAAATGTTTATGCAATGTGTAATACTAATAGACAATGTGCATAGTGTGTTGACTATATGTTAACTGAGCATGTGTTAACCTAGACAGCAAAATTGATCAATGTTTCACATTTAAAAAGACTCAAACATTTCATAACTTTAAACATTTTATTTGAGGAAAGAGATGGTTAACTATGTGATTGACATAAACTGTAAATGAAGTGACTGAGATGGGGAGGGGCTAATACGAGACTGATATCCACTGCTGCATATAGAATGTTGGTCTGGGCAGGAGCTAAACGAGACTGATACCCACTGCTGCATATAGAATGTTGGTCTGGGCAGGGGCTAATACCAGACTGATATCCACTGCTGCATATAGAATATTTGAGGAGGAGCTAAAAATACTGTTGTGTACATAGTTTGACTTGGTACAGCTCCACATTATGTTGGGTGACAGACACTTTAAATACTTGTTAAATAATTGACTGACCCTCTGTGGTAGACAGCATAACATTTTTGCTTAGTATATCTAAGATCTAAGCTTAGAGGTGATGTAAGCATAGTTGATGTGCTGGCAGCGTTGCTGATTCCTCAGCAGTTTAAGGTCATATCTTAAATTCCTGGACAACTTTATTTATCTAGGCAGGCATCTAGAATGAGATTTATTGCCTGGAGGTTATATTACCTGACAGTTATGTCATGGCAAATAAGCACCTGGCAGTTATGTCATGGCAGTTATGTCATGGCAGTTATGTCATGGCAGATAAGCACCTGACAGTTATGTCATGGCAAATAAGTACCTGACAGTTTTGT